ATTGGCAGTTATAATATAGTGGATTTAACTTTCAAAGAATTAAATCATCAAAAGTATTGTCAGACATAGTTACAATATGATCGACACAAAGACACGCGGAATATTAACCGTAGAAACTGCTTCCAAACAACGCGTTTCGGTTTATGAGGTTGGAGCAACACCATTCTTCCATGTAGATATGTATCTTCCGATAACCATTCAGCAATTATGCAAAAAACACAGAAATGTAGAAAAAAAATTGAAGAACAGATGAGAGAGATCATATGAGAGAAATGTGATCTTTTGTATTGATGAATCTTGAGTGAATTACATTTATGTAGCTTGGTTTGTTATATGGAGCTGTGGAGACTAAGTAGTCAAGCTACAGTTCTAATTAATACAACCGACTTCTAACAAACTCTCTTAAGTCTTAACAGCCTATGCTGACATGGCACTCAACACTAATAGCCTAATTTGATTATATTCAACATCCCCCCTCAATCTCAACTAGGATTTCCTAGCTTGAGATTGTAGAGTGTTTAACAAAGGAAGGATGTGCAATCCTATTGTTAAGATATTTGCGGTTTGATCTTCAATGGGAATATACAAGACCTCCAAATCTCCTTGTTGTACACGTTCCTTTACAAAGTGGTAATCTATGTCAATATGCTGTATTCTTGAATGAAACATTGGATTGGCATTGAGGGAAATGGCAAACATTACCACAGTGAATACTTGCTGGATTAGACAGAAAAACTCCCAAATCCTTCAATATGTTTCTCACCCAATCTATATTAACATCAGTGTGAGCTTTGTAGTCAGCCTTTGTCGAGAAACTGAGGTTTGCTTTTTAGACTACTGGGAGATGGGATTGTTACCTAAAAACGCTATATAACCAGTGACTGACCTTCTTGTGTTCAAGTCAGTTGCCCAATTAGTATTTGAGAAAGCATTCAACTGAGGTAAAGTATCTGCAGAATATAAAACACCAGTAATCATCGTCCCAAAATGAAATTCAGTTGGTGAAGACATGAATTGACTGCATATGCAATATTTGGCCAACAAACCTCCTTAGAAATATGGGATTCATTCTCAACACGCCTCCTCATGTGTGGCGAATTAACACAACGAGATGACGTGAAGCGTGTGTGGCTATTTGGCTTTACACGTGGGATAACCTGCTCTGATACCATGATAACATTCTGCAATTATGCAAAAAACACATAAATGCAGAAGAAAACTGAAGAACAAATGAGAGAGAACAGATGAGAGAAATGTGATTTTTGTACTGATGAATCTTGAGTGAATTACATCTACATAGCTTGGTTTGTTATATAGAGCTGTGGAGACTCAACAGCCAAGCTACAATTTGAACTAACACAACCAACTTCTAACAAACTCTCTTCATAGCCTAATGCTAACATGGCACTCCAAATACTAACAACCTATGCTGACATGCCACTCAACACTAGCGGCCTAATTCGATTATATTCAACAACTCCATCTCCAAGTTAATCAAGTGAGTATATTCCACAAAGAAAAATCAGCAAATATTATAAAAGGGTAAATTACACTTTCACACCTCAAATTTAGGGTCTATTTCAATTCCTTACAACATCTTCAAAACATTTCACTTTCATACCTTAAAGACTATTTTATTTCAAAATAATACCTCCGTTACATTTTCCATCCATTGATCCGTTAAGTGCTGACGTGGCTGCCAAACGTATTACATTTGGCAAAAAAAATATTAAAATTTTTTTTCTTTTAAAACCTTAATCTTCAAAAAAAACAAAATTTCGAAAGCTGCAACCCACCCCCGCCCATTATTCCTTCCCCCCAAAACCAAAACCCATTAATCCCCCCCCCGGGAGGCACCACCGAAACCCCATCCCCTTCATCATCATCCCCATTCGTTGTCCCTCCCTGCAACCCAAATCCAAAACCACTCCCACCCATCCTCCACATCCTCCTCCGCACACACATCTTCCCATCCCCCCCAACCCGCAACCCAGAAGAAGGGAAAAAAAAAAAAAAACCACCCCTTTCTTCTCCTTCCTGTCTTCCCCAAACCCACTATGCACCCATCCTCCACATCCTCCTCCGCACCCACTACCTACAACCCAGAAAATAAAAGGAAAAAGGAAAAAAAAAGAAAAAACCCATATCCTTTCCCTGCAACCCAGATCCTCCCAATTGGTGTGGATTTAAGGAGTGGGATGTGCAGAAGAGGGTGGGAAGGTGGGTTTGAGTGGGTCGTTCGCGCCCCCGGGGGGGGGGGGGGCGATTGTTGTGGGGTTGGCTGGAAGGAATAATGGGCGGGGGTGGGTTGCGACTTTTGAATTTTTTTTGTTTTTTTGAAGATTAAGGTTTTTTTTTTGCCATGTGTAATAGATTTTGCAAGTGAAAATGTAACAGATGTATTATTTTGAAATAAAATAGTACTTAAGGTATGAAAGTGAAATGTTTTGAAGATGTTGTAAGGAATTGAAATAGATTCCAAACCTGAGATATGAAAGTGTAATTTATCCATTATAAAACTGATGGTTCAATTTCTTCAATTCTTACAAAGTAAAAATGTAAAATCATGTTGTTTTAATGAAGGTACAAGATGAGAAATCAATAATAAGGCAAAGCAGAGTAACCGTGCTGCCTAAAAGATCAAACACGCTATCTACATGATACGTAATCTAACGTAAACTCACCTTGATTATGTTTCCCACCAAAACACTGGTGGTAACCCTGTGGGCCGTGCTTCCAGGTCCATTGCTTCACGCTCCGTGCACAACCGTGATAGATTTGGACGAACAAACACTGTCAATTATGCCATAACAAAAGCTCCAAGCAGAATACAATCTTCATCTAGTTGCAATACGAGAAATTTTGTCACGGTTTGATTCATGTCTGTCACTGTGAAAGACACAAGTGAAGGGTATATCCCATTTCCTTCTACGTTACATGATCACTGTAAAACTTGATTAGCAGCTGCCATTTTTTAAAAGAAACCTAATGAAAAGCATTTGAAAACTTTGAGTTTTAATCAAAATGACAAAAAGATGTTGTAAGTGAATAGTACTAGGAGTGACTTTTTAGAGTAAAAATGTTCTTTTCGTTAAAAGTGAACAGTACCGGGAGTGTTTCGTTAAAACTCTCTTTCTTAAAATTACAAATAAATTAAAGGGTTTTTGAACATTAGTCCTTGCAAAAGATTAAAATTTAAAAAACAAATCTAGTGCTAGATTACATATTCAATTTAATCCCTTGAAGTGTACTTTTATCAAAATTTATATTCAATTTTTGTTATTTAATGTGTATTTTTATTTACTCTCTCCACATTAAATTTTAATTTTATTAATATGCACATATTTAGTTCTTTAATTATAAATGAACATAAATGAGAACATATTAAAAGAAATTTGTGATACAAAAATATATAAATACATAAGTGTACAAAAATGATTGTGCTAAAATATATAAAATTAATTTTTTTTTGTACCAAAATATTTGTAACTACATGATTGTACCGAAATAGATTATAATGAACCTCAATGTATGTACTGAAATGTATTATATTAAATTAATATACCTAAATGTCAATACCGAATGTATGTACCGAAATATAGTATATTGAATTAATGTACCTAAAAGTCAATACTCAAATGTGTGTACCAAAATGTACGTACAAAAATTTGAATTAATGTGCCTATGTTTGTATTGATGGATATACCGAAATATTCAAATATATTAATGTACCTAAATGAAGAACATTACAAAAAAAATTCAGCATATACTTCTTAAAAAATTAGTTGCCTAAATGTAGACATTTAAATATATGAAAAGGGATCCTCTCCGGATCCCTTCCACCAAATCATACCAATCAAGACATCCAGGCCCTTAAAATTTGATCCAACAGCTAAAGTTATTATAACTTGTAAAGGGGTCTCCTGTTTTTAGTCGTTGGATCAAATTTTAAGGGTCCGGATTTGTTGATTGGTAGCTAGGCTTTGGTGGAAGGGATTTGGAGAGATTCCTTTCCTAAATATATTATGATGAACGAAATAAAAATTAAATTTAAATGTAATTAATACATTAAAATTAAAATAAAAAGATAAATAAAACATCAAAATATAACTAATAAATGAGATGATTAAATGTACTAGGGACTAAAATTGGATTTTAATCTTACACAAAGTTATAGTCTAAAACTCGTCTCTTTTAAGGATTAAATTGAAGTTTTCTATAGAATGACAAAAATTTAAAACATTTTTCAAGGCCATGGTGAGTAAACAGGCTAGCTCGGCCCAGCGATCAGTACAGACATCGACGGTGAAGTCCAAGCCTTGTGCTTAGAACTGGGCAGCTTTCAGTACATCCGTGTGCAGCCGCAGTATCTACCTGGACGACGCGGTTGCTGCCATCTCTCTCACAATGAGGTAATTTAACGTAAAATATTATACTATTAGTGAATCAATAGGATGAAAATATTGAGGTAATTATATCATTTTAGGCATATTTTTGTGGTAACAAACTTATAAAACAAATAGGAATATTTAACGCATAATGTATATCAAAAAGTTATATAAGTATAGTAGGGTTGGATAAAGAGAGTATTTGAATTGAACCAACTCGAATTGTAATTAATTTGCTCGTAAGTTTGGCATTTTCTTATAAGCTAGTATTATGTCTCACAAGTCACAACGCAACGATATCACCATCTAAGAGCATTTGCTCGTAAGTTGGATATAGTGGTGGAGGATTACATATGAGATGGTGGTAGTGGCTCTAATACAATCAAATTGCGTTTTGTCGCTTGGATATTATAGAGATTTAGAAACTAAGAGATGCAGTACTAATGTTTTTGCTTGAAACTGGTATTGTTACGTTAATGATTTTGTTTGTCCGGCGTTTGCTAGTGAAATCAAACCAAACCAAAGGGTGACGATAATTACACTCCGAATTTGGTTCCAATTGAGTCCCAAAACACTTGCAAAAACATACAATTTGGAGCGAAGAGGCTACAATTACTAGAAAATGACTACTTTCCTTAACTCTTTCCAAACCTACAAACATGGCACGTCAGGCGGCCCGAAATTGTTGGGTCTTTCAACTCTTAACATTACACTCATTTACAAACATTCTTTTCAAAAGCTACCAGAGAGAGAGAGAGAAACAGACTAGTGAAGGCATAGATTTTCATACCCCGAGATTGTGTGGCGGCAATATTCACAAGGGTTATGAAAACTCCCACCGGCGGGTGACGCAGGATCAGTTTACCCTTTCAGAGGATTTAGACGTGTTTTTGGAAGCTTTTGGACGTGTCCGTTGTCCCCTCGACCTTGCTTCAAGAAGCTTTGCCTTCAAGGTGTTCTCTCTTGTCCGTGGAGGCAACTTTGAAGAAGACTCGGACTTGTCACGAGAAGGAGATGCTAGTCTCGCCATCCACTGTCTTACTGGACTTGCCTGATTCCTCCAGCCAGTATTACTGCAGGAAGCCTCATTGTAATTGTTTTCGGAATGTACAATCCCCCCACCATCCGGCATCAGTAGTTGACTTCTTATAAGGTTTTCAGCCATGTGATTCGAATTCGAAACATGGGTTTCATCTTGTTTATTTCCTTTTCTGTAAGCATTATCTTCAGTGGCTTCACAATGCTCAGATTTTTGGGATGTGCTTATTTCGGGCGGCTTCCCTTCGATTTTCTCCTGTTCTGGATTCTCCATCTGGGACTTCTTATTTCCATTACAAGACACGGCCCAAGCCATCTGTTCTTCAAACTTCACTTGCAAGCTGGAGGGACTCCGACTTCTTACCCTTTCAGAAGAGACCGGCTTTTTCTTTGAGGGGTCTGATTTCACCTTTTTCTCAATATGATTTTTGGCAGCTTCATCACCAACCAATTTGAAGTCACCGTTGGTAGGCTTATTGAGCTCAAAACAATTTGAATCACTGCCAAAAGAATCATCTTCTTCTTCACCCACGTCTTGAGGCGCACTCACAACCTCATTCAGAGGGACAGATTCCATTGAATTCCTACGATTTCTTGTCATCAGATTTTCAGTATGCTTTGGAGAGTTCATATGTTTAGCTCTAAGGAAAGCCTCTATTTCAAGGCTTAACTTATCCGCTATTGAGTTATTTCCTGAAACGCCACACTCGGCTTCATCTAGCTGCATCTGCATCCGCTCATCCAGCCACGATTCAGATACATGGAGAATCAATCTACCATGATCAGATCTTCCCGTCCAATCCTTGTCAGTCTTCTGTTTCAAAGAATGCACCTCTTGTTCATATTCTTTTATTCCCGTAGCAAACTCGTCGCACAGGTCTTCTAACAACCTCCTCGATTTTCTCTCTCTTTCAAGCTCTTTCACAGAATTAGCAAGAGAAGATTTCACCTCAGCAAGCTCCCTCGCCAACTTCCTGTGCAGACTTTCTGATCGTTTTCTTAACTTTCTCTCATCTTCTAGCTCATCCCTCACGGACTGAACTGCAGCATGGATTCGATCCTGTTCTTTGCTCTTTCTAACTAGTTTATCTTCTGAAATTTGTTTCACCAAATCATCTAGCTCATGTCGATCAGCTTGCCGAACCCGTAGCAACTCTTTGATCTTAACACGGGCATGATCTAACTCTGTTTTCAACGCCTTTATCAATGCTATATTAGATGTATGTTGTTCCTCCAAGCTCCAAATCCGGTTCAAAACTTTTAGCAGTTCTGTAGATGTTTTAAGATTATAGTGTGAATCGCCAACCCTTCCCTTAAAGTCTAAAGAACTGCTAGGGGTGACTGCAGGGTTATACGGAGCCACCTGAAAAAAGGAAGTGGATGAAATTTGAGATCATATCATGGAACGATATGTTGTACATGGTGCACGGAACGACAAAAATTTTCAAAACCGTAGATATTAAGACAGGGCTTCCATCATGGTAAAAACTTTATAGACCAATGACGATACAAGATATCCTAGAATAGTGTAATGCAATTTGAAAATTTTGAAAATTTTCAAAACAGTTTTTTATCGGGAATGACTACAACACAACGCACATCGGTCATTTGTGCCTACATAATGTTTGTTTTGATTACTGGATCAATAAATTGAGGATGCAGTTTCTTGAAATTTCGAGAATAATAAGTCCATTGTTTTCCAAAAAACTAGGAAAACAGTCAGTCTCAGGTAATAACGTATTACCCTAGCGAGTATTACGCAAATAAAGAGTACACATTTGCAGAAAAAATAATTTTTGTCGATGTTAGAATTGACTTTGTTTTATAGTCTCAATTTATATCTTCTTGGAAATAATGGGGAAAAGAAAAAACATCTTGACTAAGTGTAAACAGATGCTTACCTCCAGTGAACTACCGTAGCTTGCAGGAGATGCAGGCTGCATAATGTGATTGTTCAATTTGTTCCTTTCAATTGTCCGATGATGTTGCATCAACGATGCTGCAATATGCCTTCTTAAACTGCTTGCACTTTCTGGCTGGCATAATTAATCCGATAAAAATCAGCGAAGAGAAGGAGACATCCTCCAATTAGGCAACTTCAAAATCAATTATTTCTGAGGACGGAAAATATGTGAAGGTACTTCATCCTCCATAATATGTGCAGAGCTCCGTGGATAGGCATGATCATTGATAGGAATCTCATTTGAATGCAATAACGCCAAACAAAAACCATGATACGATGACAGAGCCGCGTGCTCGCCCCCTCTGCACCCAAGTTCGAATCCCCCCCTCCCAGTTGTTTAAGGTTAATCGAATATTGCTCGAATAAAAAAGAATACAACTTATATGGAATTCCTTCTGGCTATTATGATAAATTGAAGAACAATAACATCTATAATGCTAGTGACTTGATTTCTATTACGAAAAAAACAAAGTGAAGGTCCAAACTTAGAACACCAAAACAAAAGCTTGAAATTACATCTGAAATAATACAATAAGGAAGAAATAATAACAAGAAATATAATAGGCAGTGACCGTCACTCACAAGCAACCCTCATCGAGGCTCCAAAAATTTCATAAAAATCGCAATAAATTAATTTAAACACACAGAAAAAGACAGGAAGTAGGCATCAACAAGACACAATTAAACAACAAAATATAAAAAATACCTAATGAACCAGATATGAAGGAACAAAATTGCAAAAACCCAATAAGCCAATTGATGAATACAAAAATCTCCACAAAAAAGAAAAAAGGGAAATTCAGAAGCAGTACCTGGTCAGGAGAACTGGGAGAATTATCAGCCAAAAAATGAGAAAGATCAAGAGCCTTCTTGTCTCTGCTGAGGTGGTGGTGTTGGAGCTGAAGGTGTCTCAGCCTAGGAGGTGGAGCACCGCCGCCGCCGCCGCCGCCATTAGTGTGAGGACCTCTGTGCATCTTTGGAAGGAATTGGAAGTGTTGAAACTCCCAAAGAGCAGCAGCTAGCTTTCTAACAGAGACAGAGTAGGAGGAGGAGGAGCTGGTATTAATGGTAAAGTGGGAGTCTTTATTGATGATGGGATCAAGGCCAAAAGGGCAACAAGGTCTCCAACTCCATGAGGACACTGGAGTGGTTGGGCCACCACCAGTGCTTTTTCTAATCAATACTCCTCTCCTCCTCCTTCCTCTCAACTTTTCTCCCAAATTTTCCTCCTTTTCTTCTCCCCCTTCCCCACTTTCTCCTACCCTTTTCATCTCTTGCCTCTCTAGGCTTCCTTTCCCCAATGCTTCTTTCTCTCTCATCTTTCTTTTTCCTATATATAAAAATATTCCTTTTGGATTTGGAACTACAGTTGGAACAGTGATGTTTATAAAATGTGTTCAGAGTGTTGTTTTATTTTTCAAAATACTTGTTCTTTATAAGTATGGACTTGTATGGACTTATTTCCATACCATTCGTGTAGGTTGGCATGCTACAAGGAATCGTCAGCTTAACATCGGAGTCATATAACGTAAATGATTCGAATCACTACTGATTGCACCGATACCTCCCCTAATTAAGAGAAAAAGATGGAGGAAGGCTATAAGGAAATCCTACGAGCGGTGTGACCATGTCACTCTTGAAAAGTGTGAGGGTTGCCAATACACCAAAGTCATTTGAGATAAAATCATGCACTTGAGGTCCATTAGATCTCTTCCAACTTAAGGTACTGGATCTACACATTGAGGGAAATATCAGATCATCTCCAACCAAAAAGACCAAACATACACCTGTTTAAAATTATAGCACTGCAAAAAATTATTTTTACATGAATAGTGCCAAACAATATTTATATAGCATTTTCAACCGAAAGAGGCTATGTTTTAGCCCCTCAATAATTTATTATTTTGAAGTTTGTTCTTTACCGTATTGGTTAATTGAATTAAATTACTATATTAAAAGTACAACAACTTTGACATTAATTCAACAATTGAATTAAGTTTGTTCTTTAGCTTATTGGTTATTGGTTAACTACTTAGACATTAATTTAAAGATCGCAATTTATTCGAAATACAACTTAATTGAAATACAACATCTTAAATATTAAAACTACAGCAACTTAAATATTAAAACTATAACAGCTTAAATATTAAAACTATAACAACTTAAATTTAGATTATTGGAACAGTTACGATGTGGCCTTTCCTTTGGTTGAAGATGTGGCCATTTGAAAGAATATTGAAAAATTTAATTTAGATTATTGGAAGAGGTAAGAGAGGGGTGTGTCAAAAGAGTGTTTGAGGTGAATAGAATGTGAATAATTGAAATAAAATGAGGTAAGATAGTATGGAATGGTAAAAAGGATGTGAGAATTGGTGTATAAGAAAAAAATTAGAATTTTAATTTTTTTTTTTTTTATAGTTTCGACCTTAAAAAGGTAAAACAAAATTACAACGGCTACATGACATCAGCTAACATCATCTAGCAGTTGGGTGCTGATAGCTTGGGCCCAGCAAACAGGCGAGCTAGCTGGCTAACAATGCCTAGCCCGATGGCCAAAGGACCGAAACTTGGCCTGGTGGGTCTCCTATTTTTCGGCTTAGCTCTCCATAAGAGTTGAATTTGTCTCAATTCGGGCTAAAACATGGCCCATGACCGTATGACCTAATCCATTAAAGATGGCCTCAGTCTATATAATTTAAGTAGTGGAGTCAGACGCTTGTAGATCCTGTGACACAATACACTTCACCTTACAAGAAAATTACGGTTCGATAAATGTATACAAATTTTTCACCTTGTATTTAGAATATTGTGCCACGTACGTTTAAGCTTTCGTTGAAAGATAAAATCTCTAGTCATCAATGAAAATCTCTCTTTCTCAGTCATCCCATTTAGATGACCTGGGATTTCAGCTTGATCTCAGCCACCTAGCGGATGATTCTAGCTAGTCTAGCTAGTCTGAATCTTGTCATCATTTTTCAAATATATAAAGAAAAAGAAAATATATTCTTCGACTGGTTTCTGTTCATCTCAAATCATCTTCGATCTGGTTCCTATTCATCTCAAATCAAGACGGCGACGACTCTACGCATGAGGATGGTTGCTTGAGGATGGTTTTGTAGTTTTATGCGAATAAAAAGGATAGTGTATTATTATAAAACTTTAAGATCGTTGTTTTTTTTTTTTTTTGTTTTGTAATTTTGGGAATTCCATAGGAGTTTTTTCTTCTCTAGAGAGTTTTTCTCTAGTGTACTTTCGGTATAGAGATGTCCTTCTATGTCGATTGACAGTCGATCTGTATTGGTGGCAAGTATAATTTTGGTGACTGAACGTTAGTTTTTATTCGTGATTTCTTCAAATCAACAATGTGTCGTGTTTAGAATATGTTTTCTTTTGAGGTGAGAACTAGAATATATCTTGTGTTTTTCCCATGACCAACAGGAAAGAGTTTGATTGATTGTACCCATCGCTCCCAATAATTTTTCATGCACAACTTTGTTTGCAGAAAAGTTTCGTAACACTATTTTGTTACTGTAGTCATCCTCGACAAAAGAAAAGGAAAGGAACATAAAGACTCAAAACCTTATTTGTATGACATTTAATTATTTACACAACAATTGCAGCTTAAATTTACCAACAAAATACATTATTTTTTAGCATAATTTTAGCTATGACACGTGTACTCATCACCAAACTTCACTTTATTTCCTATAATGTATATTATCTCACTTTACCACATGCACTCTTTCTTCGTCTCTTGCTTTACCCCCTACACTCTATATCGTCTCACTTTAAAACATGCACTGTTCCTTAATTTTCCACTTTATCCTACTCCATCAAATAAGTTAAAAGAGTACTAATTGCATTGATGTGGCATGCACAATTCCTTCTTTTCAACTACGTTGGTTAAGTGGCATGCTAGTGAAACCCATAAGTAATGAGAAGTGGGTTAAATTCAAACTAGGTTAAGAGAAAAATATAAAAAGAGAAGGTTGAATTTTAAGATTCACAAATCAATTTCAATGTTTTCAAATCCCTTTGCAAAGACTCTTACGGTTTTGTTATGAGAATCTATACCTTTATCGCTCTTTTCTTCTTTATTTTTTTAATATGGAGAAATCAAACTCTAGTTTGAGTTTAAGCCACGTCTCTTCACTGATGGATCTTTATAACATGGTTGAAAAGACTAAAATGTTTATGCCACATCAGCACAATTAACGACTCTTTTTTTTAACTATTTGACAAAATAGGGTAAAGTGAGACATTGAGCAAGAATGCAAGTGTTAAAGCAAGATGATATAGAGTATATGGGGCAAAGTGGTATACGGAGGAGTGCAAATGATAAAGTGAGTCAATATAGAATGAAAGGCTAAAGTGAAATTTAGTGAAGAATATAGGTGTTTTACCCAAAAATAAGTTTGGTCTTTTACATGATTTTCTTTCTCTCAAATCTAAATTCCAAAATGGTTTTATCACAAATGATCATTGAAATTGACTCATCCTATCAAGATGACCCTTGAAATTGAAAATAGATAGTTCCTAAAATTGAAAATTGATCAATGTAGTTCTTGAAAATGGGTACGCAAATCAATTTAGTCATCTTCCATCACAATTCTATCAAACATTATGTTATGTGCTAATGTGGCACATAACTAATTCTACAAGTCTAATTAAATATTGTCGTATGGATTCAAAAAAAATTTAATCATGGAAAAAAAAAACAACTAATGAAAGGGATTTGAAAACTTTCAGTTTTAACGATAAAGGCAAAATAAAGGGTAAAATAAATAATATTAGGATTGACTTTTTAGTATAAAAATATGATTTTTCGTTAAAGTAAACAGTATTAGGAGTTTTTTTGTTAAAGTTCCAAAAAAAAAAAAAAAAAAAAGATAATGATCTAGGAACTCTATAGAGCTCGACTTCCTCGACAACCATGCGGAAATCACAGAACCTCTCCTCTCCCCAAAATAAATTCTAGAAATTTCCAAATCAAAGAGCAAGCATCAGATTTCAATTCTGAGACGACGCGTAAAAACAAAATCACGACTCCAGCGCGTCATTCCTGTTTCAGGAAGTCAAGTCCCTCCAACTGAAATCGGTTCGAATCCCTTTCAATTTTCATGTCTTTCCAAGAAATCTTCATCGGCTTCGACTGGAAATTCTCTGTTACGTCTATAAAATCTTTCATCCTAAAAAAAATGATTACTTTGATCTCCCAAACCCCCCAATGGGGCACCTTTAGCTCTAACTACACCGCCCCGGTAGTCCTAGACTCCAATAAACGTGACGCCTTTGGGCCGCCGGAAATGAGATAGTAGATGAGGCTCTGGAGTCTGTGCTTGGAGGTGGACGAGTGTATAGTTGTTATGAATCAGTAAGTGGATAGTTTTGTAATTATCTTAAAAGAAAAATTAGGATTCGGTCCCTATTACTAATATTCATTGACTGAAACTTTATTTGTTTTTAAATTTTGATCCAAGTCTCTAACATTAATATAATAATGAATTTACATGTCAGTTACATAACTTTTTAAAATAAAAATTAATAATTGATTTAGGATTTTAATATTCACACATTTATTAAACTCCTAACTAATTTTAATTCAAAACATTTTCAAAATAAATAAAAAATTAGAATAAGTTTGTACCCATTAGCTTTGAAAAAATGTTTTCAACTTTTTAATCTTATATGTACCTCATTCATGTAATTTTTTCAAATTTTTTATCTTAAAATGTACCCATTCTTAAATATACCAATTTGTTATATGTAAAATGTACCCTTTTTTTATATAAAATCTATTCAATTTTTTTTAATCCATTTTTAAACTTATATGGCTACTTTCTTTTTCTTTGATTTGAGAATGCATCCATGTCAAGTTTTATCGAAGAAATTTACTAATGTTATTAATCTAATATTTATATATATATACTTTTTTTTTGTGTGTGTGGTTTTGAAGAATGTACCCATGTTTTGGTATAATAATTTTTTTGTTAATTTTGATGAATGTACCCATGTTTATATATACGTACACATAATAGTATAATTTATATTTTAACATTTTTAATCCCACAAATTATGGGTTTTAATTTAAAATTTCATTAATATAAACAATTATAAATTTCAATTTTTAATTAAAAAAATATAGTAACATAAATAAATAAATAAAAATTATCACATTAATTTCAGGAACTTTGATCAAAAATTAAAAACCAATAAAGTTTCAGTCAAAGAATATTGATACATGGGGACCGCATCCAAAGTCTCCCGCACCTTAATTACAGTAGAATTAAGTAATTAGTAGCTTAATAGTTTTACTATTAAGTGACTGTAATTG